CTCGGACCACGCGCGAACTGCTGAAGAAGTTCGCGGCTGCGCATCTCGGATCTGTAGTATGGGGGGCATCAACATGTGCATGATTTAGAATTATAGGACAGGCAACGAAAGCGAGGGTTGCCCAGCCGATGGTATGACTCAACTTTGCCGAACCTGTTGTCTCAGTGCAGGGATCGAAGCTAAAGTTATCTTTCGGACATGAGGGCCGGCAAAACTGCACTTAAAGGCAACTTGTGCTATGCATCTGGTTTCAGCACAGCTCACGTTTGTCGTTGTCGCCCGGCCTCGCGCATGCCTTTGCCTTTCAGGTACCATCTCTTTCAGGACATTGAGGTGCATCAGACCGAAATTTCTTCTTGCGCATGCTTGGGCCCAGCTATGGCAAGAACTACTATCTCCAGCCTGTGAGCTAGATTTTCAAGCGTCTGTTTTGCAGGAAAGTGACATGCACAGCATTGACATCAGTCCCAATGCGGCCCTTTTCACGGATGACGAGATCCAGGAAAACATCGCCATTACAAAGGACTGCTTTCTGATCGTTGCTCTGAGGGCAGGGAGTCGTCTTGCAGAGAGCGTCAGCATCTTTCCGAGAGCGCAGAGTGATGCAGTCACCAGCGACTGAACTCTGTACATGCGGAGGTCAGGATGCGGTCGTGAAGTCTGATTCTCATGCCTCGACCATTTCGTTGAAAGATGGGCTTTGCAAACTGTATGCAGGAGCTCTTCCTCCTGGTCATTCAGGCAAACTCACCCAGATTGTACACGGACTTAGTCCGATGATCTCTGCATGGAGTGAGTGCACGCATTGGACCTGCAAGGTTTTTTGCATCTGTGACAGCACTGACCAGGACCGACAGGTTCAGCTGCTGATGGACGATCTTGACCTCCCCCCGGATCGAGCGAATCTGTTCGAGGTTCGAGGTGTTGCTGATGGTTGCTGTGAACTTGGTACCTTCCATCACTTCCTTTGCAGTCTTCTCGTCAACAACTTTTGGGATCCTTCCTGCTATTGTCAAACACTGGAATCATATTCAGAAAAGGCTTCGCGACATGCAGCTGGGTGACAGTGAACCGGCATGGAGCGGGAGCAGATCTCCAAAACACCCGTCATTGTGCATTGGCCAGGGCGGAACTGCGACAAAGCCTGCCAACATGGACACCGGTCCGATAAGCCCACGAGCTTGTGGGAGGACATGCATCAAGCTCCAATTTCTACCACGTAGACGATGTTTGCTTTACCATAGCTACACTCCTCGTTCAATCAAAACACTTCTCAGGTATTTTGCAGATCCTCTCCGGGGCTTTAAGACAAACGCAACGGGAAAAGCCAGCGCACTCGACGTTTATTTGCGACCCCACAAGGCGGAGCGAATCGACTCAATATCAAGTTCTTTCCAGGAGGGAGCTCATCGAGTTCTATTTTCGATGTTGTGATTCGATGTGGTTTAAATGGAAGTGGTGTTACGAAAGAATCAAATCCAAAGTCCATTTTGCTCCAGGTTGGTCTCGGGCCTCTGATTGCCATTTCGGATGACGGGTCTACCAGCAACGGATCGGCTGTTGCGTTGTTCAGGTGAGGCGGTAATTTGCGAGCTTGAGGGTGACTTTTGTACTCTCTGGGTATCTCCTCTTGCTGACAGTAAGCGCATTGAATAAAGAAGAGGTCGCTCACTCGCATGACTCGCACGTTTCTACGGAAGTGACCTCAGCCGGTTTTCTCTTAGTGTGCTCAAACAGAGCCCGTCGCAGGCCTACCTCAAAGACTGGAAAACATTAACTTGGGCAATGAAAGAGCGTGGCAGAAACACAGAAAATACGTCTGGCTGGAGCTACTTCCTGTGAAGGGCCAGCGGCAGAGAAATCACTGCCGAATCTTGAAAAAAAAAAGAGCCATTGACAGGACACCTCAACTCTGCCGCAGTGCTTCTCAACATGGTGCATGCCTAAGTTTCCAAAAGCTACAAATCAAGCATGCAACCGCAAAATAGTAAATTCACGAGATCGATGTCTGAACCTTACTCCTCCGCCGATCTGTCTTGAAACTTATATTTTCATTCGGCATCTGCAAGCCTTGCAGTCTGTTCGGTAGGTGATCGATGCAGACGGCAGTGGGACGCCTGGGAGCATTGTGGAACAATTTACACTGCCTAACTCGGTCATTGTTGACACATGAAAGCTTTTGTTACAGCTGTGTGCGGTAGAAAGGCGTAGTACAACCGAGGACGCTGCACATAGCAGAGCTGGTCCACGGCTTGCTCAAAATCCGTGGAGATATCACCAAGAGCGACACAGTAGCTGCTCTGCTTGCGACAAAGGCTGTGCAGGCACGTTTGTGCGATTTTGCGTGCGGGGGCCCAAAGAACAGCAAAGCTTCATTCAGATCAGCTTTGTCATTCTGGCCATGTGTCCTTGGGCAGGCGATGCTTAGCGAGATACACAAAGAGGTGGAGAGCACCCGAGAGAACCTTCGATCCGAGATGGGTCTCTTGGCGTTGCGACTGTATACTGACTGTTGCGCAGGCCCGGCACTGTCACAGGATGAAATTATTCAAGCCCCTTTCCGACAGACTCTCCAGGCTATTGTGAGATGCGAGCTTTTTCTGGTCCCTGGAACTTCCAAGGCAACCATTTCCATGACTTCAAGAAGAAGCTCCGTCGCTTGGCGAGCGGTTCTTTGTGCGAGGGTCGCAACCCGAGTTCGTCAAGTGCTCTGCGACTGCCAGCGCAGGAAAGATTGCCTTGGCAGCCCCACACAGCACTGCCGGCATCCGACGTCCGGAGCCAACGAGGCACACACTTCCCTGGCAGTGCAGGAATGTTTCAGAAGAAGCAGCTGACCGATATCGACGAACGGCAAAAAGTCGGACGATCTCACCACATTCCTACAACTACTAGTGGTGATGCGAGGGCGTGTCTGTGTGTGTGTGTGTGCCGTCGCATTTTGCTGATAGTCCGACGGAGCAAGGTCAGGTCTCGTAGAGTCCACGACCAATTTGCAGGAAGCCTCGGCCTCTGCCAATTGGTCACCTGCAAGCTCCGCGCAGACCGGACATGCTCTTTGGTGGCGCTTAAGCTGTAGGTTGCCATAACCGGACAGGGACGAGCAGGCCCTCAATAAACCATACAGTCCTTGTATGAGCCCTAAACCCCTGCACCCTATAATCATGGGCCCAAGCTTCACAGATGCCGACGTTGGACTAAGGATTCCCGAAGTCTTGGACGCAGACCCTCCCTGCCCCGGGGCCTAGCCGCTTCCTGAACTGAAGGTGTCTTCTCGAATGAGAGACACCCATACCAAGAGTTAGCCCAGTGCTTAGAGCTTTCAAACCACGAAGCACAGCTTGACGAGGCTTTTCAAGTTTATCCAGATCCAACAGAGCTTGGAGATGCTGGCCCAACAGCTTGGATGTAACATCCAGCACTGGCCAGGCAGCAGGCAGCTGCTGGCTTTTGCTGGTAGTGCTTTTGCTCTGTGGTCAAACCCAGACAGATCAGGCACCGCGCACCCGAAGGGTCAGCGAGCGGTGCGAGCGACATCTGTGCCGCAAAAGAGCTCCTGATTGGAGAGAACCATGCTGCATTTCCAAGTGCCTTCCGTGAATCTGTGAGGGTCGTGACGAAAGCTGCTTGGCCACAGGCTCCCACTGCCCATTTCTGGATGGAAGCATTTTCCCGGCCACCCGAGTCCAGATCCAAGACACTGTGACACACTCTCTTTTGGGCTTGCGACCAGTAGCAACGCTGCACTTCCTGCTGCATGTCGCCGACCATCACACAGATTTCATCGAAACGCACGCCATCTACTCTTCCAGGTTCTGCCTGCGCTGGGTGGGTTTACGTTATCTTCCTGGGCGGACTCTTGTGTGACTCGGCAGGATTATGCACTAGTTATGCACTGAATTTGGTCAGTCACTTCGTTGAAGTTGCTTGGCTTGCACGTGTGTAAGTTTCTTTCCGTCCACAAGATGCCTAGTGCAAGCTGGCAGCAGGCTGCAGCCCGCTGCAGCCCGCTGCAGCCCGCTGAAGCTGTCTCGGCTTTCAGCCCTTTCTGCTCGAGGCCTTGGAGTTCTTTGAGGGCTTCTTGGTCGAGCACCGTCGCGGAAGCACAACGCAGTGAGCCGCCGACAGTCATGCTTAGTGGCTGAGTGTACAAAGCCGTAGAATGCTCTTTAGAGCAGTTCTTCACCTGGAAGCCTGTTACAGAACAGGGCCAGGATTGCGAGCAGCTTGTCAGTCATGCTGCTCGCTGTTTGAGAGTGCGTTTGCAAGCACTTGCTTTGGAAATTTCGTGTTCTTGGTCGTATGAGACACTTGTTGTCGAAGGTTTTGCTCGCAACAGACCACCATGCAAATTATGACCCAAGTTTACTGTACCTCTGGTGGCAAGCCTCCAGGCTTGCTTATCGAAGATGGACGCCCTGGTGTGCAAATGTCCAACCCGGTGGTGATTCGTGCGACTTGACCTCGGCCTTTCTGTTTACTTGCTCTTGCTGTCTCCCAGCCGCGGTTTTCGCGAGAGGCCCCCGACCTAACGGGCGGACTCCCAGAGCACAGTCCGGCCCGTGTCATGCGCCTCTGCATCCAGCCAGTGAATCCCAACCCGGTCATGCTGTTTTGGTACCTCCATGTGTCTACATTTCCACGAGCCTAGGTTTCTGGAGCAAGCCAAACTCGGTTTGCGTTTGTCGAGTACGGGGTTGCTGCGTTCCATATCTGCCGTGCAAATCCGAAGGTAAGGGTGATGGCACGATCCTGCGGCAGACAGTGCTCGTGGATCTCGTGGGTTGGCCCAAGCCGAACACAAACCTGAGGCAAAATCCTAAGCCAAGCAACTTGGGGGCGATTCCTCCTTGCGCCTTCTTTGAGTTTGATGGCCGGAGGCGGCATTTCGGGATTCGTCGGTGAAAGAGGCATGGGCCAATGCGTGCGGTCAGATGGCTGATTTCATCAAGAAGCTACTGGTTCTGAACGGGAAAACACTGATGGTCTAATTAGCTTCGATGGAAGGGGAAAGCTTCCACATGGGATGCTCTTGGTGGATCTTCCGGACAAGTGAAGAAGAAGTTATTGGGGAAGTGTTGCCTGCAGAGACGACGACTCCGCAGTCTGCCACTCTGCTCCTGTTCCCAAGTCTCCTCAAAAGCTCGCCATGGCTCCGAAGCCCGCTGAGAAGACGGACAGCCGGGAAAAAAGAGTTCAAGTACTCTTCAGTTAAAAAAGTGCAAAGTGCATCGCAGGAAACCAAAAAGAAGCCAGCCGGAGCCTTGTTGTCTGCTTTTGTCTTGAATGCCAGTCTTCCGCTGCACCAGTTCACCGAAGACTCAAGATGGATCTTCTTGTCGATTTTCCAAGTGTCGAACCCTTGCAATGGTGAGGTGTTCTCGGTATGCCAAGACCGAACGTGCGTTGGGTGTGCGCGCACGCAAACACTGCAGGGTTGTATCCTCCAATTCGCCGAGGTCGCGGAGAAGAAGGCAAAGGCGGAGCCAAAGAAGCCAGAGGCGTCTCACAGACACGGCGCCTGCGAGTCATGCCCATGCGGACTCGGAGCTGGTAGGAGGAGAAGAAGCGAAAGGCTGAGGAGCCGCCGGCCGAGGAGCCGCCGAAAAAGGAGGCCAAGGCCACCGACACCCGGGGACTCCGGGAAGTCCTTGCAGTTTGAGAAAGGAAGCTCCTCTTTGAAACCGAAGCCGGTCCTATGCCTTCGTTTTATGACCAAGTTTCCACTTGCACTGTGCCCTCTGCCCGCACTGCAGGATGAGTTCGAGGAGGAAGAGGACCAATGACCTTCTAAGGGCGGTGGTTACCAAACGGGCCATGCTTGCAATGGAATCCTGAAGATGTAATTTCAACACCAGGACGACGTCGTTGACGCGAAGAAGTCCAAGATAAAGACACTTGGCTCAAAGGTCGATGTCCCCTTTGTTAGCAGATCTGTTGCGAGGGCCACTGACTTTGCGTAATCGTGAGTACGATGGGGATCCTGCTGCATTCCCAGGTCGGACGTGGAATTCTTGACGCCAGATCTGACTCTGGATGCATTGCCGTGCATGGGTAACAAGGCATGGGCACGAGAGACACATGTGTTGATTTTGTTGTCTGCATACACAACAACATGGTCGTATCCAGATGTGGGTTGGGAGGTTCTGATGTCCATCAACGAAGGTGGACTCCAGTGGCGTGGCTGCACTGAGAAAATACAGTGCCACTGAAAGTGCTACGCTCAACAGGTTGGAAAATCATACTATGCTATAAGTTAGACAGTAGCCGTGGCACAGACATTACGTGCGAAAGTCTTCGAAAAGGCGAGCTTTCTCTCTCGCTCTCTGTGTTGCTGTCTGTGTCTCCGGCTCCCACTCTTTCTGTCTTGTTCTCCGCCCTCCCACTTTGACTGGTAGGACTGGTCGGTGCATGACATGCGTGTCGAATACTTGTGGGCAGGTTGTTGTCCTGGTTGGAACACGGGGAACGTGGGTTGGTTCGGGAAGTTTGGGAACTGCAGCGGTGATGCTCTGTATTATACAGTCTGTGTGTTTTTCCCAGGGTGAAGTCTCCCCGATTCCAAAGAGTCTTTCTCCATGTTTGACTGCTTTGTATCTTGAGCCTTTGCCAACAAATTCATTCAGGCGAATGGCGCTCGAGAGAGATACAGAGATGACCCTGAGCCATGAACGTCACATCAATGCCGCGATTCAGGTACATGATCTCAGGTGCGCGCGCTAACGTTGGGTTGAAGTCTGGCCGCCACATGTTCGAGGCTCGACCCCTGTGCCCCAGTTAGGCACAGTGATGAAGTCATAGCCTGTCAAAGAAATGTGGATGCATTTCCCGACGCAGTTCAAGATCGTGGAGACCTACCACACGACAGTGGCTTGGTACATAAGATGGGGGCGAAGGTGCCCGAAAGCAGAACTGCACTGATTTCATGCTCTATCGGTTCTACTGTCCACCACCATGGCAGGTTCAGGCACTCCAGGACCTGTTTTGTATCCCGACATGGCATGCCTGAGGAAACCTATAACAGCAGATTGAAGCAGATGAGGCACGGACTGTCATCAGCAGCATTCGTACATCAAGTTTAAGACAACCAGCGGGAAACATGTTTGTGTTTGTGGTCAGCTGTTTTTCCTTGCAAACTCCGGCAGATGCTGTTCAGTCATCGACAGGCAACTCGTGCGAGTTGGCTTCTCCACAGCAGGCTCCCCGCTGGTCCTTGGTGAGTCTGATGCCCCTCGGCTGCAATCTGCAGCTTGGGTCGGGGAAGCCAAAGCAAACCTCTTGAATAGCGCCACAGCGTCGCTTCTGCACGGCCTGGAAGCCAAGACCGCAGTGTTCTTCGACAACGAGGGCAACTACTGCACTGGGAAGACTCGAACTCCTCGGGTGGTGCAGAAATTTGCACGTGACCAGGCTCGGAGCTGTCGATGCTCAGTCAAAGCCGTTGTGTTAGTGTTACCATCAGGCAGCTGCATTGAAGAAAGAGATCAAAAGCTACTTGTGCCTCGACAGGGCATGGCTGTGGTACTGAACCTGGATCCGAAGAGTCCTCATGCGAACACAGCGCCTTAAACAGCAGAAAGGCTTCGGTGTCCGTGGAGAGGAATAAGGGGCCTCTTCGCCAGTCTGCTCCACTCCAACTGTTACGTGCCACACCGAGATCAGCCTCTTCACAAATGGCGTCCGTGCCTGCAAGCCCCAGAAGCTTCCGGAGCGCCTGCATTTTGTGAGTTCTTTCAGAGCGTTGCTCATGCCAGAACAGGCCTAATTTGCAAGAGAGCCAGCCGAGTCGATCGTGTCCTTTGTGTCATCCGTTTGTCAATTACCGCGACTGCAGTTTGAGCCACTCTAGGATAGGTCTCCATCGCTTGTTCATGGAAATGCGCTTTCGTACGAGAGTGGTCTCGGAATCGAGTCAATGCCTAGCACGTGGAACATATAGCAATCAGTGCGATTTTTTGTAGCAACAGCCCTGCTGTGTGTTCAGCCAAGGAGGGACATGTGAACTCGGTTTCGAGACCGATTCTCCCTCAGTCTGTTTATTTGAAACCGATCCTTCTATCTCAGATACCAGCCATGCCTTGAGGTCTCGTTGGCAGCACCGCTATAGTCACATGCAGCGGATCACTGTTCTTATGTTTATGAACAAAGGCCTTTCGGCATCTGCTAACATGAGCCATGGATGGGGCGGGCATCCTCTACCTTTGTGTGTCGCTCTCCGGCCCATGCAGTCCGACAAATTAAGCAGCCCGGCAGAAACTCGTCTGCGCTGTCTCTGTCAGAAGTAGGGCGGGGAATTATGCACCTATGTGGCTTGCTGGTTGTGCTGCTTGTTCATCAACACACAGGGAACGAGTCCGGCTTGCGCATGGGAGTGCACTGTTTTCGAGGTCTGCAGGGTCATGGGGCGAAGCCCTGCAAATCCTCGGTCAGGCACGGTTTGTGAATGCTGAAACTGCTTAAAGCAGGTTAGTAATGTGACAAGGTGCAGGTGTGCTCTTCAGATCATAACAGGATCTTTCTCGGCCTCCGCCCAGCAAAGGGACGCAGATGACTAGTGGTGGTTGAACCTGTCGACCCGTACATAGTTCAGATCAGTTCAGCTTGCTCGCACCAGATGCCATTGCACACGTCTGTCTCTAGGCTCGGAAACTGCACCTGCCCAGGTGGATGAACAGCATATCAATGCCTCCCGCCTTGCAAAACCATCTGGTGTATTTAGTTCCTTCATGTTTCTCAAACATATTTTCGAATTTGGAGCGAGGTCATCGTGGTCGGAGCGGCGATTGGAAAATGCAACTCGTAGAGAAACAGCTTCCTGCTTGTGAGGTAATACAGCTGGGACTGGGACTAAGCCGAAGATTCAGCCATGCACGCTGCCTCGTAGGTGCAAAGAGCGCAAAGTGGCAATACGCTCTGGTCCTACTGGCGCAGTTGGAGAAGACCCAATTGCGAAGCGACGCCGTAGCCTGCAGCTCCTGTATCAGTGCGCCCTGACACCGTTCATCCATAGATGGGTCGGAAGAGCTGTAGATTGTAAACACTGGCAGATTGGCGCATGTTGCTAAGGCGTGCACAAAGGCGGAACAATGGCAGGTGGCCCTGCAGCTTCTCTCACATGCAGAGTCCAGTCAGGTGGAAGCAGACTCTTGCATGCAGTCAGCAAGTAGGCCGTCAGTCATGTCCCTTCTCGGGATCGAGATTGGGTTCATGGTGCAGAAGCCGCCGGTGCAGCAGCTAACAGCCCTGAAGCCGCAAACTTGACGCTCATGATCTTTGGCCAGTTCGTTTGGGCAAGGGGGCTGTTGCCAACAAGCCTTTTGGTCATGGTTCTGGACGAGAAATGTGCTTCCCATATTCCATTGGGTTGAACGTGGCTGAGCTCAGGCATTCCGTGTCAGCATCTGGGTTGTGTGTGATGCCGGATTTGTCACAAAAATCCCGGGTTAAGCAGGTGACAGGTAGATACAACGGACTGCAACGGCCAGAACAATAATTTCAATCGTGTCTCCTGCCTGCTGAACTCCAGCCTGTCGCTTCCAGGACTCGGTGCTGTATGGCAGCGCAATCGCTAGCTGCGCCGCTGCACGAAACTGGCACCAAGCGCTCGTGCCCTGGAGCACTGGTCGAGGGACTCGTCGGATCGCAGGCTGTTGCCTTCGGGTGGCGCAGCAGCCGAGGCGCTTTTCTCAAAGTTGCAAGCGCGGTCACTGGAGCCCGGGAGCATGACGACTTCCTCAGCGATTGCAGCTTGCGAGAGGCGCTACCTAGCAGGCCCCAGTAACAGGAACCCTCCGAGAGTCCGAGAGTGGAAGGTGTGGCCAGTGGGAAGCTGCGTTGGCACTCTTCGCCGCTCTTTCGAAGAGCGGAGCGGACCTGGAGCTGAGCGCCTTCAACGCCGTCATCGGCGCTTGTGGCAGCGCTTCCCGTTGGTCCCAGGCCACAGCCCTGATCTCGGAACCTTGGCAGCGAGGGAAGCAGTTTTAGAGACTATATGGACGGGACACAGCATACAAGCAGAAGCACTCAGAGAAGTGCCTAGTGCTCAGGCAGGGTGCAATGAGAGGCAGCGGTTGATCGGTTAAAAAAAGGTCTGATGCGGTTTTTGTACAATCACAGTCCATTAGCATAGCTTCTGCCCGTGCTAATTTCGTACTGTGACTGTCCTTTTGCTTCATTGCTTCACATTCATCCCAGCAAATGCCAGCGCACGGTTGGGAAAGGAAGGTTGTCAGTAGTGTATTGCACAAGGCCATGTGCAGTGGGCTCACGGGCTACAGGGCAGCTTACATTTTACTTTGATGGAGGGTTTGGCGGTCCACATATCCATCTAAAGCAAGGAGGGAGTGTCTCTCCCTCCTCCTCTCTCTCTCTCTCTGCGACAAGGCGATGGTGCATCTGAGCGTGCCGGTAGGTAGCCGAGAAGACTGCCAGGATCTGCAGCATAGACGGCTCACTGCAGATGTGATTACCTACAACACCGCAATCAGCGCTCTCGGCAATGCGCCTCAGCGTTTACGTTGGCTTGCATCCCCAGTTACTGCGCTTTGCAGATTTCGGATTCAGCTGCTCCGCGTTTTTCGGTCCAAGTTTGGGGAGCCCCTGGTGGCGTTTGTGTTGGCAAGTGGTTATGCAGCTGCATGCTGGTGGTTGCAGGCTCATCTATGGCAGACTGCGGTGCAGATGTTCAGTGACCTTGAGGCGAAACCGAAGCTTTGCGAGGATTGTTTTGTTTCGTTGTTCGCGAGGGGAGAGAGCGAGTGTGTGTGTGTGTGTGTGTGTGCGTGTGTGCGTGCAGCATGTGCTGCAGGGTTATGTCTCGAGTCTCGGCCCATCTTCTCTCGTCTTTCGTCCATGGCAGGTCATCTCCGTGAGTCCAGATCGATACAGCCATGCGGCATTGATCGCCGCTTATGATCGGGCAAGTCACTGGCAACGAGCGTGTGGGCTCCTGGCATCATGGGATCAAAGGTCCGGAGAGAAAGATACCGTGATTTTCAATGCCGCCATCGGTGCATGTGCTACCTGTGAGCAGTGGCAGCAGTCTCTGCACCTGTTGCTTGGCGATGTTGAAGGTCATGGCGCAAGCACTCGACGAGTGGATAGTGCCCGTGCCAAGCAGATCCAAGGCTTTCAGACATGAGATTCAGCAGGTTGCCGCTGTCCATGGAATCTCAGCTCAGTTTTAGTTTTGTGACGGAGCAAGTTCTTTCTGTGCTCTGCTGGCAACCTGCTCGAGGCAACCTTCTTCGGGGTGGTTACCGCTTGTGCTGCAGGAGGGCTGTGGCAGCATTCTCTGCAGCTGCTGTACGAGGCGGGAGTAGAGTGCCCGCGGTGGAAGGCGCTTGGTGAAACAGCTGTAAGGTGGAGACGACGAAAGCTGCCGGTAACTTGATGTTGTGGAACCAGGCCGCGCACGTAGCTTGCATGGCCACAGAGCTTCCTTCAAGTGAAGCTGTGTTGGCACAGCAGTGAAGAGTCTCCACGTTTTTCTTTGCATGGACTCCCCTTTGCCACTTCGTGAGTGTCTGGCCTTCAATCAGGTCCTCCTGGCCTGCCAACGCGGTGCAGCCTGGAGTTGTGCGCTGACACTTCTGCGTACGCTCGACGAAACCTATGGTGCAGGTTCGACAGATGCCAGGCTTCGCGGGCTAGGTGCTAGTCCGAGCTAAGTACCTCAAGCTGATCGGCATGCCGGGGCCGCATTGCACATACGCAAGACTCGGGAGGTTGCCAGGAGACAGTCCGGGTGAGTGTGGTGTGTGCTTGTGTGGGTGGGCAGAGGTGTGTGCCTTCACGTCATGTTGTGTCAGCCTGCACAGGGCATATGCTGGAGTTCTCAGCAGCTGCATACGAAGTGGACTTTGGCAGCGCGGGGCATCGCTCTTGGCAGACTCCAGAGGCTTTCGGGTCACCTTGGATCTTACTGCACATTCAGAAAGCATCACTGCTTGCCATCGGGCACAGCAGTGGCAGCTCGCTGTCGATATGATGCGTGCAGTCCATCAGAATTCACTTCAGTTCGATGTGATGTTATGCAACACGGCAATCAACATTTGTGAAACTGGCCGCCGCTGGAGAGACGCGGTGTATGTCTTCGAATCGATGGAGAAGATGTCCTTTGACCTAGACGTGGTGACCATCACGTCTGCCATGAGTGCATGTGAAAGAAGTGGTCAGTGGCGGCTTGCCTTGGCCCTTTTCCAAGAGATCCAGAAGAGACGCCTTGAGCCAAATGGCTTGACCTGCCGAACGCTCATCTCGGCTTGTTCTGAACGCACAAAGTGGGCACTGCGGCTGCTGCAAGATATGGCAAAGCAGGCCATGGAAGGTGTTGTCATTGCATGTAATGAGGCCATCTCCCAGTTTGGGCAGACTGCGCGCTGGAGGCAAGCTCTGATGTGTTCCGACACCCTGACATTCCATGGTTTACAGCTCGACGGTGTGACCTACATCTCTCGTACGAGTGCACTTGCAAGAGCCGATCGCTGGCAGGATTGCCTGGAGCAAGTGAAAACGCTGAGAGACTGTAAGCTTGAGGTTGACTTTGAAACCAAAGCCAGCAACGCGGCTCTCAGCGCGTGTTCTGGACACCTGTGGCCTTACGCGGTGGCTTTGTTTGAGGACCTGGGGCGGCAGCGGCTCTGCAGCAGTAGCTCCTACGCCAGCTTGATGACACTCTGCGAGCACAGTGGCCAGTGGAAGATCTCTCTTTCGCTCCTCTCGCTGCTTGCTGATGCCGAGAGCCCCTGGCATGCAATTATTCGATGGCAGCATTGCAGCATTCCTGTGCTTAGGGTCAAGGATCTCAATGGAAGCGTGTCAACTCTTTTCCTCCTCCTCCTCCTCCTGCTGCTTCCGCAGCTCTGCTGTGCTGCTTCTGGCTGGTGGTGGTGCTGCTGCTGCCTTGCTGCTGCAAATAAAATAGCTATTGTATACCAACCTACTATGCATTTCCTGCTGCTGATTGCCAACGCTGCGACCACTACCTCCAAGGCCACCAATGCTTGAAGCTACTTATCGAAAGCATCACTACTAAGTCGCTGAATTTCATAACGTTGGTTCATCACCGGACAACCAATTGTCACGATGTGAAGCATAATTCTGTTGTTTGCCGTCCTGGAGACGTTGCTAGTCTGATTCGCAAAACACAGTAACCCCACTGAAAGCCCACACTTCGGTGCCAGGGAGGCTTGAGCCCAGGGTCTTGGACGGATGCAGCTATGCTCCTTGCAATATGTTCACAAGGCAGCAGCCTCCAGTTTGACCTAGTCGCCCTCAATGCTGCGCTTGGCAGTTGCGCTGCTGGACGGGCATGGCAGGTCTGCTGCCTAAAGGGGTAGCTTTTAACCCGCCGTCCACAAGTGGAAATAGCTCTATACTTCTCGCGGAGAGACTCTTTGCTCCCTGTGCCTGTGGTCAAAAACCTGTCTGCTTCCCTTCGCCTGCAGGTGGCACTGGACTTGGTCTACCGCTGTTGCTCGCAGATCCCAGGCCGGCCTGGGCCCTCTCAGTTCAACCTCGCCTTAAGAGTGCCTCGGCAGGTGATGTGAACACTTTCAACCAGGTCATTCGAAATTTGGACGGCCATTGGGAGATGGTGCTCGCAACATTGGCAGCGATGCAGGATCGTGCTTTGAACAAGGTGCTCCGACTGAAATTTGCGAGGCTGCTGTCTTGGTGGGATGTGGTAGGTCTTCCTTAAGGCTTGATGACGGACAGTCGCAGTAAAGCCGTGGCAGGCCAGGCACGAGAAGACAGGTCTAGTCGCATGACATGCGGACCTCATCCCAACACCTTCCACGCACTAACAGGTTTGTGCTTCCCAGCAGCGCCCAAAGTCCTGTGCCGCTTGCAATTGCAGTTCGTGCTGCGCAGTTCCCACTTTGTGACATAGCGCCACCATGAAGGTGTGCCTGTGAAGGAGGCCACACAACTTATTCAAGAGTTAGCCAACGTCAAGGCTAAAACAAAGCAGACGGATGCCCTTTCTGGCCTAGAAGAGGGAGCGTGCACATGCCTTCGATCGAGCTTCGCTCGCCTGCAAAGACAACTTTGACATGTGGAGGGTACCCGGTACAATGGCTATCAACAGTAGTGCCAGCAATGACTCGATAGCAGCATGTTCTTTGCAGATTCGGTGATGACGAGGACCATCGCAGCTACGGGCTGGCCATGAATTCGCTCATTTCTGCCAGCACGTGGATCCATGGCGAAATCAGTTAGATCTTGCCGGGAGACTGGAGAATCTGGATGTGCTTTTTGTCCCTGGCGCCAGGCCATGGGCCCTGGAGCTCTTCCGGGAGCTCCGCACCAACCAGATGCGGCCAGACCAAGGCCAGTTGCCACATGTTGCCGCAGATTGCCGCAGGCTCACCTCATCTCGTCCAGTGCTTGAGGCATCTACGACGCGCTGATCCCCCTGGCCTTGAGAGTGGGTCTGACTGCGACTTGAAGCCCTGAAGGCAGTTTTTCGTCTAGGCCACCGGCAGAATTGAGCAATGCGCTTCCCAGATTCTCACCATAAGTTGCAGCGTTGCAGCTTTCAGAAGTCCCCTGATGACAGTGCCCTTAAGGGGCATGTGGGTCAAAACTCGTGTGCGAACATTGCCACTCAATGCATGGTCAACATCAGATATCAAGAGAGGAAGGTCATGGATCCATCTGTTGATTGCAGGAGAACCTGATTGGCAAACCTCTGCCTCAAGCTGAGCAGAAGTCCTGAGCGAACTTGGCTCCCTTCATCGTGAGGGGACAGAGAGTTTCAACGTGCTAGGTTAGCATGAATGCATGAACAGACTTCTGTGCATCCGATGCGCTCAGGTTCCCTCACATCAGCTACCGCCACATGATGCTCGGCGTCAACGTCCTTGCCACGTAAGCGTGTTTGCTTTTCACTTTTCGGCAAGTTGAGGGGTGCGCCTGCGGCTGTTTTGAGTATTGGGAGTCACGCTGCCTCGGCCATGTTCACGCATATGGAATGCTGTCAGATGACCTGCGTCCTTCAGCTCAGGAGCGTCATGGTGAACATGGGCAAGAAGCCGGCCTGTAGCCAAGAGCCTGAACGCAGCCTTTCATCTCCAACTTTCTGTAAGCGGCTCCACTGCTCCACGCTGAGCAGACATGTGGACATGGCAGATGCCACATGACAGCCTGAATGCCGAAGGATGCCTCCACTGTCTACAGACTTCGCACCCACTCCATCGCGCCTGCTAAGTTCACGAAGATGCCCTTCGTCTGCCGAATGGTCGCTGATGCTGCGTAACCTGACTGCAGGTCCAGACTGTTGTATCGTGAACGCTTCCCGTCGTCCGCCTCGGCCCGGTCGAGGGCGGGTGGGGATGTTGAGGGAGGTAACAGGGCATCCCTGCAAAAACCTCTTGGCCGAGGCGAACTGATATAAACTTCATCCCTCGAGTTTGCCCGACAGAGTGATAGGTGACAGATGCTTTTTCAGGCTTTTGGTTCTTGCTGTTTATACTTCAGGTGACCGACTGTGGATGCTTCCTTGTAAGCACTGTTTTGTTGCTGCAGTGCATGGGTGTGGTGTGGTGGGCTGTCCAACCCGTCCCTCGATCTATCGCCGTCGGTCTCCAGGCCTCAGTCTTCCAGGTTTCTCAGCGTGGAGCGTGATGGTCAGTTTTGGTAGAACGAACTCCACACGGGCAAGTGAGTCGTGGATTCCAGCTGAAGCTGCTCACGTGGAAAGCATTCAAACAATCCTTGGCCAGAGGCAGGTCACATCGAGGGTTTGCGAATCGGTCTGAAACAGCAGGGCCAGCTTGTTAGTATGTGCGAAGTGCCGGCACGAAGGAGTTTGCAGAGCGTTAACGGCTTCTTGACAGTGACTGAAACAAAGCCTACGGATTGTTATTCACTTCGTCGCGTGGTTGGGACATGCAACCAGCTTTCTCACTTGCACCATTCATGCACCTTCCTGCATCGCTGAGGGTATCCGACAGCAAGGTGGAGACCCCTCCAAAGGCATGTCTCGTAACGGCGCACCTACCTTTCCAGAAGACCACATGCAAGAGACAAGATCAGTCTAAGGAGTTGTAGGCAGCAAAAAGTGCATGACAGACATGTCTGGCCGATGAACAGCAGGATGGCAAGTGCGAAGTTGTCATTCCCGTGGCCTTTCCAGACGAAGGCCCGCGGTCTCTGGGCTTCGGAGGAAGTTTGAGGCTTTGGGCACTTTGGGAAGCTGCTGCGACCCCACTTGCCTCACTGCAAATGTCGACATCTGAAGGCCCTTTCAGTAAACCCCGCAGCGTATGCCACACCTTACATGGAACAACGACTCCGTTGCACCGTGCATGGATATCCACTACAGCACCAGGATGCACCAAGTGACCACGGGACCGCAATAGATGTCAAGGCCCTCGGTCTTGGAGTATGCTTTGGCTTCAAGCTCAAAGGCACTTTCGACTGGCTGGACAGCTTCCTGGAAGAGAAGCCCACCTACACGGAGCTCAGTGACAGGCGGCATGCCAGAATGCAGATCCAGCTTGCAGTTGTTGCGGGATTTCCGGCAACTTTGCAGGCGGATCCAGGAGTGGGCAGTGACTTCCGGCCTTCCGCGGCCAAAGGTGGGCCCACAGGCACAATGCGGCCACGCGTGAATCTGTGCACAGTGCCGTGTCATCATCCTGAATCAATGTTGTGCCCCCTTGGACATGATTTCCAATTCATTTCAGTTGTGAGTCTGTGTGCAGCAGCAAGACGTTGCACGAGGCGTCCAATGACAAGCCATACTACATGTATGGCCTGCCGAGCCTGGACGACATGAGCACGCAGAAGGCTGTCTGACGCAAATCGTGGGTGCGTTAATCCATAAACATGACAGTCGCGTGTGGCGCTGTGTGCCTGGAGTGGCAACGCGCCCTCAAACGATAATTATGCCACACGGGGCTTGGGTGGGTGGGGAGGTGATCTTAGCAGTTGCTGGCATGGAGCTGGTTGTCCTGGTGACCATGCAGCCGGTTCTTTCTGTCATCAGTGCCGGTTGGCTCTCGTCACGGTTATGTAGATCAGAGGATTTTCTGCTTAGTGGCCTAGCAAGAGCCACCAGGTACGATGCAAGGTTGTGTTGTGCTTATGCAGGTGGTGTCTATGCTGGCGCCCATGCAGCCCCGCAATTACGTCGTGATGGAGGCCAGGGTCGGCTCGGAGTTGTCATTGTCATTGACTTATCAGGTTTTGAGCAGTGTTGCAGGATCCAACAGGCTAGGTTCATGCTTCCAAGGTTGAAGCTTTCGGATCAGCAAGGGTTATATACAGCAAAATTAGCACGCAAAAAATGACACATTCAGCTCAAGTCGGGCACGACGTGCACCCAAAGCATGCTCCATCAAACAAATGCAGATTCGGCGCTCAAGCGATGTGCTGCCGGCAGGTCAAGTCCAACCTCATCAAAGAGGAGATGGGTGCTATGGAGTCAGACTCTTCTGTATTGCCAAAGCAGTGTACATTTTTCCTGTGTTCGAGCTTCTATTGGGAATTCCATCGCAGCAAGTTGTCTCCATGCCCTCAGCAGGAGCGCGCGCAGGTCTTGAAGCGCTTCCCTTCGACACACTTCAAGAAGGTTGTAGCCCTGGATTTCGCGATGCCTTGTGAGACAGTGCAGTCAACCGTAAGTTTCCCTCAAGTTCTCATGCTGTATGTTGCGCAGGTGCATTGTAATGAGACATTCAAACGGAAGCCTGCCAAGGTGGCCTACGTTGTGATGGGGCAGCCTGGCCAGGCAAGGGAGGGGACGGGAGTGAAATGGCGCGAAGGAAGCGCTGAGATTTCTGGGCTTCGTTCGGGTATCATGAATGTATTCTTCAGGACTACAAGGCCAGAGTCCGCAACAAAATCCTGAAGATCAAGCAGGACAAGGCTGACTCTACCTGGAGAATCAAGAAGGCAGAGACGGGCAACTTATGTCTGTGGAAGTGTGGTAGAGCAGAGACTCTTGGCCCTCGACCTGCGCCGTCCATGCTCATCCATGCTCCCAAGCTGGCCATCAAACGGGCGTGTCTCTATCCTTGTACACCCCCAAGCTGTCAGGCGCAGCAAGAGCAGAAGAAGAGAATGATTCAGCGACAAAAGGACCTGGAAGCGAAGAAGAAGGAGGTCTTCGGATTGTGAACGATGGGTCAAAGATCACTTCGAGCAGTGTCAAAGCAACATGGGTTCTGGAACCAGGCAGAAGATGCGAAGAAGAAGCTGGAAGAGGAGGCTAACAAAACCGAGCAGGACTGAGGGCTCTGTCGAAGCCTAGCTGTACCATCAAGCTGGTTCAGCAGCCTTCACAGAAAGATACAGAAAGACAAGAAAGGACTTCCAGGGTGCGAGCTCACGTCGTTTCTGTGAACAGCTCTTGAAGGAGGAGGGTGCGGAGAAGAAGCCGGAGGAGGACACCGAAGCAGCGGCTGCGGAGCCCAAGCCGGATGAGGAGATGAAGAAGGCCACAGAAGACTAATACTGGTATAATATAATATAATATAATATAATATAATATAATATAATATAATATAGTATAATATATAATATAGTAGAATATGATTACCTCAAGAACCAGTCCTCACCCCGGCCTCATGTCATTTCCCGCACCCGCAAAAGGAGGACGAACCAGCCGCAGAGGAGGAGGAAGAGCCGCTGGGACAACAGTACTGTGTTTAACATCGACCAAGCAGGCTCTGTATGAAATGAGAGTCAGAGATACTCTCGAAAGTAAGGGCTCGTCTCGCTCGAAGTTTCTGTGTCAACCTGCTGGACTGAGTTTGGGAGATGAGCCGCCAAAGGCCTGGCGCCTCAGGGCCTCGGGGTGCCTTTTCTGGGGATCCGCCCATGCGGCCTATGCGGCCTGTCAGGTGGAACTCACGGAAGAGGAGGAGCGCCGATTGGGGCATCGGTCTCCTAGCCAGTCAAGCAGCAAACAATCGTCCAGCAATGTCCGGCATAATGAGATGCCGATCAAGGCACTCTACCTTTCACCGGACTGTCGATTCAATTTCACAGTGAAGTCTGCTGGAGTCCAGCTGGAGGTTACAAGGCACTGCTCGTTTGTTGCGCTTGTGCACAAGATCATCGGGCAGGAGAACTTGAGTTTCCTTCCGAAGGGGGCTGTCCCCGACTTGACTCCGTCCGTTTTGAGCAAGGCTTGGCAGCACAAATTCTGGCGGGAACGGCTCCATCCAGCAGTTCTAGTGATTCTAGTGTTGACAAGACTGGCTCAGACATGCTGTGAAGGATAGGTGGTGTTGGCGACTGATCACTTTCCCGCTGCGGAGCTGAGTTCGAGCGACGACAGGCGTTTGCCAACTTCACCATCCCAGAAAAGGACGAGGGCTTCGATGAGATCAAGTTCATATGGCAAGACGAAGCGCAGAGCTCCTCCGAAGCACCAAATCATGCTTACGGCACGCTTGCCGGCGTGACGGAGTGCACACAGTCGCAGAGCGATTCGTGAGGTAAAGAGTACTTGCGCAAGTGGGTGCTTGAGACGAAGCTCACGACACGCATCGAGGTCACGCGCTCTCTGCAGTTTCGTTTTGTACCCGAGCTCGCTGGCACGAGCTATCCATGGTTGATTGAGTTGCTTCAACACGTGCTGCGCTGCTTCGGCGGAGTCAAGTTTTCTGCGCAGGACCTGCAGCCATCCCAGGACTTCAGGGACAAGTATGCGGCGTGGCAGAAGAGCTTTTCGGACCGGCGGGATTGAGCGATGCAGGGGGTTCAAGGCGAGATAGATTGCCTTTCAAACCTGACAGGAGCTCCAGGGAAAGCAGAAGGCCAGACACCATCGTTAGCAGCTCCCGTGCTCAGATCTCGATTGGTGAACCGACGGTTTGAAACTTTCGACCTGTAGCCAGCAGCTGCAATACAGATCTTCTGAGTCGCAAGCGGAGACATCAGCGGTTCTCCGTCGACTATAAAGACCTCACGTGCCAGGCCTGGAGAGCTGCAGGCTCCAAGAAGGGTGCTGCGTCAGGCGACGCTGTCGAGGACCCTGAGATCACACAGAAGGGCATATTTGGCTTGGCGACTTCCGCACTTCCAACCCAGGACATCAACGACATCGGCGGCGGTGAGCCCCTGCAACTTGCCCAAACACTCCGACTCCGGGGGGCAGTGGCACCGTCGCGTGTCATTCTGTTCGGATCTGTATCTACCGGGAAGATGACTAGAAGTTTGCATTCGCAGTTGCATTCGCGTGTCGCGGTGCATCCCAGTTTCAAGTGCATCCAAGGTATAGCAGCTTCGAAGCCGAGGATCGGCACGGTAGTTTGCTCAAGTGCCAAATCGCCACAACCGTTGTCGTTTCGCAATGGCATGTTGATGATTGTTGATGTTTGGGGGCTTCAGCATCGTAATCTCGCTCAGCTGAGGCTTAAAGGCATCGTTTAAATCCATGACATATGTACTACTTATTCCAGCATTCTGCTGCTGCCCATCTCTGATGTAGCTCAAAGGACATGAAGCACTGAGCTTTGCTAAGTGTGCCTTCGCACCCGCCCACCGGGGCATTCAATTCACCGGAGCAGGGCCCGACCCGATAAAGACCAGCTACTTGTACCATGTAGACACTCGTGTTTGCACTGACAAGCCTTGCTCAAAAGATCACCTTCGCTTCAACACGTTGATTTGAATGCATATGCACACAGAGAGACCCACAGATAGAAAGCTTGCTCGTTTTGCGTGTGTGTGTGTGTATAGTACATGCATATACACATACATCAGACATATGTATAGACTTAGTTTTACACGCGTCTACGCACGGACACACATACATACGCACGTGCACATATATACGTATATACTACACACATGAAATTCATGGCTGTCTGCATGCATGTGTACATATATCCATCCATCCATCATTCCATCCATCCATCATTCCATCCCTCCATCCATCCATCCCTCCATCCATCCATGCATGCATGCATGCATATACATCTATACATACATACACACACACAGAGACATGCATACATACATGCATACCTATATGTATTTATTAATAATATGTACAGATACACAGATGACACACGCATGTACAATCATGTACATATCTATCTGTTTTCCTGTCTGTCTCTGTTTTTCTGCGCACCTAGATCTATATACATCTGCCTCTGTAGGTCTAGACGTCTGTCTGTCTATCTATCTTTCTATCGATCGATCCATCGATCTATCGATTTAGTCTATCCATCTATCTATCTACCTGTCTATCTATTTATCTATCT